CAGGTGATCATGTATTGTGTTACATTATATTTCTGGAAAATTTGAGGGGTAGTTATATAATAATTTTGGACGATCTCGGGCGGTCGGATACTTATGACCGCTACTGTAAATAAATAAATAATGTTAGGATAAATCAATTTTATAAATATTTATTTAAAAAAAAACAGCATTAACAACAACAAAATGACAATGATTTTTAATGATCTTTCGAACCAAGTTATTCCGTTTAAAAGGTATAATAAGCTTAAAAAGCAAATTATATATATATTATATTAGGAAAATGACTTCACCTCGAACGGCACTCCTTGTTACACAAAATTAAAAGAACCTTTGTATTAAATATTAAATTATAAAAATTTTTTATGAAATTTATTTAAATTTGCAATTTTATAAATTTTTTAATAAATTCAAGTTAAATATAATTAATTCGATTTTAATCAATCTATTTTAGCACACCCTAAGATGAATAAATACAATTTATTATTAAATTCGTTAACATTAGTTGTTTTGTTAAAATCTAATTTTTATTTATCCAAGAAAAGTAACATACCAAAATATAAATTTTCTGAAGAAAAGACATCTTAAATTATATTAGTTTAATGTCTCAACAATATAACTTATTAACGATACGATATATAAATTAATCACTTTAAAAATTCGACCATGGATAAAAAATAAAAAATATTAATATTCGCTAGCTTTCATATTAAACACTGAAAACGCGGAGGTGTTGGTATAGCAATAATAATTTGATAAGTGTATAGCTATACCAGTGCGACGATGACTTAATCTTGTAGTTGAGAGGAAAGCTTAAAAAGTGCAAGAATTATATATAATATTCTTGTTTTTTATTTCGTTGTAAGAACGCTTACCTTAACGAGAGAATTTTATTTATTATTTGTTTAAAGCCTTACATATATATTTTTTTATATGGCTTTCTTTAAAACAATGCGCTTATTAAAACACATATAGGAAATCGGTATACAGTCAGAACTCGATATAGCGATCCGCGATAAACCGATTTTGGCCGATATCGAACTTTATTCTTAAACCAAAACCACTTATAATAAAATTTATAACTATATAGTGATTTTATTATAAATTTCGCGATATTGCATATATCGAACTCTGGTTGTAAACCAGCTATAATTATTTATTCGCGATAATCCGATAACGATTTTTTCTCGTTATACCGATGGTCGTTATAAAAAAATGGATTTTTTTCTTGATATAACGATCGATTGTCATCGATATAAAATTTCAATATCAAATGTTAAATTAATATAAATATAAATTGGAAGATTTTCTATTGATCATCTTTTACCATGTCTTCTGAAAAAAAAGTAATACATTGTCTATGGGACAAAAGCAAGAACTTTGTCTCATAAAAATAAACAATTAGAATCTTCAATCCAATTATATAAATGAGTTTATTAGTTTCGATTAGATTTTTTTTTTGTTCCCAAATTTTACAAATAAGAAATAGTATAGCATACAACATGCAAATAATAAATAATAACTACATTGCATTTATTGCAAAAATTTGATATAACGAACTTTTATTTTTTTTATTATTTAAATCGATATATCAAGAAAAACTCGTTATTCCGAATCCTCATTATAAACGAATCAAAATCATCAAACCAAAAGGTTAGCTATATCGAGTTCTGACTGTATAGGTTATAAAGAATTTTATATAACAAATATTTAATTGGCTAATTCTTTATTCGAACACATCATAATTTTAAATACTTAATAAATCAGTCGTTTGAAAAATGATCTCTGGAATATTATTCATATCAGTTTCAAACTTTTAAGATATAAATTTATTTAATTTTATAATACAAAATATATACTAATAAATTTTACAAAGAATAACTAAAATTAATAAACATCACAAGCTTTTGACTATTAAATTCGTGTTCTACTCAAATCCTTAGATTTTATTTCGAACGTGGTCTTTTAGTTTCTTTTTTAGCATGTTTATCACATTTGGGTTTTTTTGGAAGTTTGGGTTCAGGTACTTTTGGTTGTTCAGGTTCAGGTTCTTTTGGTGGTTCAGGCTCTTTCGGTGGTTCAGGTTCTGGCTCTTTTGGTGTTTCAGGCTCTTTAGGTGGTGCTGGTTCAGGTTCTTTCGGTGGTGCTGGTTCAGGCTCTTTCGGTGGTTCTGGCTCTTTTGGTTCAGGCTCTTTAGGTGGTTCGGGTTCTTTTGGTTCAGGCTCTTTAGGTGGTTCGGGTTCTTTTGGTTCAGGCTCTTTAGGTGGTTCGGGTTCTTTTGGTTCAGGCTCTTTAGGTGGTTCGGGTTCTTTTGGTTCAGGCTCTTTAGGTGGTTCGGGTTCTTTTGGTTCAGGCTCTTTAGGTGGTTCGGGTTCTTTTGGTTCAGGCTCTTTAGGTGGTTCGGGTTCTTTTGGTTCAGGCTCTTTAGGTGGTTCGGGTTCTTTTGGTTC